TTTTGTAGTCTGTCACATATACTATCTATCCATTCTTGAGTGTAGTCTATTTCCATTTCAGTTTGCATTTTGTTAGATGTGTGAATATTTTTTTTAGTCATTTGACTATAAGTAAGTAGCTTGTATTCTTTTGGATTGCTGTTTGTAGTTGTAACTGGTTCTGTGTTCATGTAATTATTCTTTGTGTTTGTATATTCTTTGTTGTTGTCTAAGATATTGTGTTGGTTGTCTGTTGTTCTAGACTATCGTTGATGTTGGAACTTTTTATAATAGGTTCTAATAGGGATGTAAGATTGGTTAATTTTGTATATGTGTTACCAAAACCAGTTTGTACAGGTTTGTTGTTGTTGTTATTTGATTGTAATGATGTCATAATTGAATTTAACGAGGGTGAGCTGGATTGCCTACTTTTTGCACTGCTTTGGATCGTGAAAGAAGAGTACATCATTTCTTTGCTAGTGCATCAGAATAGGTGGAATCTTTTTTTGTATCAGTTTTGCCTTTGAGGGAGCTGTTGTTGTGAGAACTTGTAGTTTGTTTTCTCATCTGTAATTTTAGTATAGTCTCAAAGGAGAATATAAATGAGAGGCCATTAGGCCTGTGTTGACTTTCTTTTTCTGTTGAAGTATTGTTGTTTTCACTTTGTTTCCTTTTAATCTTGTCTAAGTTTTCTAGCTTATCTTGTTTGTTAACTGTGAGTCCAGGGCCAGAGGCAGCTGTTAGTCACTAAAGATTTAATTACTTTGTACTTCCTTGTCTATGTTTTGCTGATTATTTGTTTACTTAGTATTTTGCGATCTAAGGAAAAGAGTTTTTTTTTTTTCCTTATCTTGAGATATTTTATATCTGAATTTTTATACATTTTCTTAGCTTCATTCAAACAACATCTGCAATTGCTAAGGAATGATAACTCTTGACTACTTCTTCATTTACTAACTCTTTTATAAATTTTAAGTATTTTTGCATATCGACTTCATCAATAGTATAGCAATGACTTGAAATGCCATTTACTCATTTAACATGAACAATTTTTGTAACAGAAAACCAAATTATTTTTATCTTGACTTTATATTCAATGAAAGATCACTTCTAAATTATATGAAACTTTTCAAGAGAAACATTTTCTTTTATTTCACTTGATTCTTTTGGTTTTGAAAACCAACACATATAAACTTTTTATTCATTTTTATTTTTTTGCTTATATTTATTAAACCTTACTTAGAAATTGTTAACAAGAACCCATTGTTTTTCAAACTCTTTAATGAAAAGCTCAAATAAATTACTAATATTAAAATAACATTCATGTAAGCCTAATATTATTCATATGAGAGACTTAAATTTTGTTTCTTAATAATAAAAAATACTGCACAACTTTTCAAATTTTTTAAAAAAACAAATTATGCAAAAAATTTTTATATAAAGAAAAAAAAATATCATGTTGAGATTATATTTAAAAAGTGACTAAACAGATAGTATTAAAATAATATATAAGATGATGCTAAAATCAGGTAAAAAAAAAAAAAAACTTTTAAGTGCAACAAAAAAAAAAACTTCAAGTGCAAAAAAAAACAGCCAAGCACTTTAAGTTACAACCTTCAAGTACAACTCAAATAAAATCCCTCTAAATGCAAGACCTTTTGGTCTCAAGTAATATGCTTTGTTTTAAGTGCGTTCAAAAAGAGACGATGCTAAAGCAAGATAAAAAAAAAAAACTTTTTAGTGCAACAAAAAAAACTTTTAAGTGCAACAAAAAAAAACTTTATGCGCAAAAAAAAATTTTAAGCGCAAAAAAAAAAACTTTAAGCGCAAAAAAAAAACTTTAAATGCAAAAAAAAAAACTTTAAACGCAAAAAAAAAAACAGCTAGGTGCTTTAAGTTACAACCTTTAAGTACAACTCAAATAAAATCCCTCTAAATGGTCCCAAGTAGTATGCTTTTTTTTTAAGTGCGTTCAAAAAGTCGAATGTATCGATTGTAATACTTTACCGCATAGCACATTTTGTTATTTGAGTTTTGATTGGTCATTGATTATAACGGTCAATTGACATGCATGACCCTGGACCGTCAGCTTGATTGATCTGCCCGGCTTTAAGGAACCCCCTTTTTGGGCAGAAATAAGTATACACTTTATTCCATGGGTGTACGAATTGGTATAGAAACATGTAATTTGATTGGTTGGTTGTCGCATAATTAGCCCATCAGGCTACGAAATCTTATCTTTGGTTCGTTAGGAAAAAATGAATTCGTCGAAGCGCGTTCTTAAAGCCGGTATACTAGGTGCAACGGGCACAGTAGGACAACGATTTATTCTTCTACTTTCGGCTCATCCTCATTTCACCATTCATAGCGTTGGCGCCTCTTCACGTTCGGCTGGTAAAAAATACTGTCAAGCTACAAAATGGAGAATGACCAGTCCAATGGCCGCTGATGTTAAAGATATGATTATTAAAGAATGTATTCCGGAATTATTTAAAGATTGCGATGTAATATTTTCAGGGTTAGATTCTGATGTTGCTGGTGATATTGGTAAATAAGTGTATATTTCTATACTTTTTTTTTTATCGAAGAAAAACTAAGATTTTATACATCTACAATATGTTATTTAGAAATGTCATTCCTAAAATCTGATCTGGTGGTTTTTTCCAATGCAAAAAATCATCGCCGAGGTTCATTAGTCCCTCTGATAGTTCCAACTGTAAATCCATCACACTTTAACTTAATTCCTCATCAACGTTCATGCCACTCCCTTAAGAAAGGTTTCCTCGTAACAAATGCAAATTGCTCAACAACTGGTCTTGTTGTTGCATTAAAACCTCTACAGGACTCATTTGGTCCTATAGAATCTGTAATTGTTCACACAATGCAAGCAGTTTCAGGAGCTGGATATCCTGGTGTCGCATCACTTGACATTTTCGATAATGTTGTTCCTTACATTTCGGGTGAAGAAGAAAAGATGGAATATGAAACTCTTAAAATTTTAGGTGACTTAAATCAAGAAGCTACAGAATTTCAATTACTATCTTCAATGTCTGTATCTGCTTCTTGTAATCGTGTACCTGTAATTGATGGACATACAGAATGTGTTTCTATTAGATTTAAAAATCAACCTCCACCTTCACCTGAACAAATTATACAAGCATTTGATTCTTATATATCAGAGGCACAACAAATTGGATGTTATTCTGCGCCTAAAAAAACGATTTTAGTACAAAGTGAACAAGATAGACCACAACCAAGATTTGATAGAGATAATGGTAATGGGTATAGTGTTACTGTTGGTAGGATTAGGAAATGTAATGTATTTGATATTAAGTTTACTTTATTGGTGCATAATACCGTTTTGGGTGCGGCCGGAAGTGGGATTTTGAATGCTGAAATTGCTCTTGCTAAAGGATTGATAGAAGTTTAATGCTCATTATTAGAGATATCTTTAAATAACAAAAATCTTTATTTATTATTATTTTGGTTAGAATTAGTGTAATACTTGCCAATGATGGCATAATGAAACTAGTATCCTGGTTAGGGGCCTGCAAATTACCTATTGTTGTGGCCCAACCCACAAAATTTATTATATAAAATTTTGAAAATTTTTGGCCCGCACTAGTCCGCAGTTATAAAATTTTGCTTCCGAGCCGGGCTACAGGACCCAATGCAGGCCTCTAATCCTGGTACTGTTAGCCTTAACAAAATGATTAATATCATTGCTTTTTTTCTTTTTTTTTGAGGGGGGGTATAAATAGTGACAAAAATTTGCTAGTCTAAATCAGTATAAATCATTAGGTATCAGGCTACCGATTATAAGTCACATGTTGCCAACATCCAAATTATAGATTTGAGATCATAGGCAGAAATTTGTCTGATTGGCTAGCTTCGTAGATCTACATGTGATTATTAGCCAATCAAATCAATCAAATGATACAATTTGCAATTCGTTATTTTTCGTATGGGCGGATTTGACTCCAAATCCAAACCATGTGATTATTGCAAAATCGTCTGCTAATTGGTTAATTTACTTAGTATATTCTAGTATATTGGGGGTAGTGATGTCACCTAAACCCGATAGTTTCAGCACGTGCCCAATCCCAAACTGCCAAACTAGTTTGGGACTTGGCCGTAATAAAATCCCAAACTATAATAATAGGAGTTTATTTAATTAATGCAAATTTTTTATAACGATAGCTTTTAAAATTAACAAGCGTCAATTTTTATTATAAAAAGCATCAATTTTTTATATTTATTTGCAACATTTACATGTTTTATATATTTCTTATTTTAGCATATATTATGCTAAATTATATTATTGCTCTGTAGTTTCTAAAGCTTCTTTTACAATATCATCAATACAAAAATGTAAATTTCTACAACCTTCCATGTAATTATTATTGTTTTCCAAATTGTCAGCTTTATAATCTTCAATTATAATAGAATTAGTTAAATCAATTAAATCTTCAATTTGTAATTTTTCTTCAATTGGTTACAAAAAGTCCATTTTAATATCCTTATTTATTGGTTCATGAAGATTTTCCCAGTTTGCAAATGCAGTTTGCTCTAGTGTGTCATTATAAAGATTTTGAATTGAAAGTTTCTTATTATAAAAATGAAGTTCTATAGTAATATTTGAGAGATACCAGGAATGTACTTTCATCATAGCCTTTAATATTATAGTTTAAAGTATGTTTTTTTATCTCCATATAGTCATTTTAATACTGAAAAGTTATACTAACAAGAAGCTTGTGAAGGTATTATTGAAAATAACATCTTTGCAAATTCTTGTAAATAAGAATAATTATCATCAATAATAGACCATTATAGTTTAGATGTTTGGTGAACATTGTTATAAGAAAAATTAAAGAATGCATTTTTAGCCTTATACTTGCAGAGTTGATTTATTAATTCTTTACAATTCAATTTATTATAGAATTGTTTTGAATATAACTTTAATACATATTTGCAAAGGTCTCAAAATTTAAGATTTTTTAATTCATGACTACAATATTGTGAATGAAGATAATAGGCTAATAAATATATTTCTATATTAAAACTTGCATATCATTTATTAAAAATCTTAATAGCATCTATTTTAAATATATTAGTATTTGAAAGTTTTTTAATTGCTGCATCTAATTTTACTAAACTAATAAAGCAATTTACTAAATTAGTAGATCTTGATTCTAGTATATTAATTATTTTTTTAATAGGATGAAATATAGTAATAATTTGATGACAAGTACTAAAAAAAGTTTTATTTTCATTTTTAAGTAATTTATAAATTATATTATTTGTAATTGCATTATAATTTTTTTCAAAAATCTTGTTGAAGATTAGTTTAGATTGAAGCAAAAATCTGCAATATTAAATATTAAGACCCATTGAGTTTTAATAAAAAATTCTAAATTTCTATTATGAATATTCATAGTTTTTATTTGATCTTAAAGCAAATAACTTGCAATATGTGATTTTTTAAAAAAATTTATTATTAAACTTATATTTGATAAAATAGCTTAATTAATGAGATATTAGTAAAATTACTTATAATTTAATTAAACCAATATGCTATACATTGAATATTAATAATTTGCAAATAAGTTTTACTAATAATTTGATATATTACTTTAACATTTAACCCATTATCTAATACTATAATAACAAATTTTGATAATTTTATTTTTTCTATAATTGTACTTATTTTATCTATAATAAATATATCTGTTTAAGAGTTTAAAAAATAATTTTGAATAGTAATCAAATACTCTTTGCAATCTAAAGTTAAAAACAATATAATTATATAATAAGTTATTAAACAGATTTGTTCAACCATCAAGAGATAAAGTTAAATTATATTGGTTCAATAGTAATTTATTAATTTTAACTAAAATTGCTGCAAGTTCTTCATCTAATAAATGGTCTGCTAAAGTATTTCAACTTGAAGAAGTATAATCAGGCTCTAATAATTTAATTAAATTCACAAAAAAAAGATTATTAATAACAGCCCATAATATATTGTAACAAGTAAAAGCTTTTAAAAAAGCTCAATTTATATGCTTTTTGTACTTTTTATTAACTAACTTTGCAATTTTAGACAGTTTTTCAATTTTTTTAAAATTTTTTTTTTTTGATCTATAGTAATATTATTATTATCATCATCACTATTATTCCTTTTAGCTTTTTCTATTATTTGACAAAGAAACATATTACTAATATAATTAAAAACTTTCTCATATTGTAATATAAGATAACTTTTCATAACTTGTGACCTGGCCCTTAACCAATACTGATTGCAATATATACAAGTTGCACTATAATGTCCATATTTATCAGTTACTGAATCTTTTTTAAAATACTCTTATACTGCAGCTTTTGGATATTTACCTTTCTTTCGATTTAATGCTTATTGATTATGCTAATTATCTATAATACTATTTGTAAAAGGTTTCATAACAACAATAATTCAAAAAATTTTAACTGATTTTTTAAAAATTCTTTATTTATTAACTAATAATTAAAAAAAGACTAATTTATTTATTATTATTAATAGTAATTAAAAAAAACTAAAATATATTATTATTATTTTTTTTTTTGCTTTTATTAAAGCTGATGTTTATCCATGACTATCACCTTTATTGTGTATTTTAATTATATATTAATTGTATAACTTGTACAAGATGAGTGTACAACTAGCTACTTGTACAACTTTTGATTATCTATTTTAAGTAGTTTACCTGAAGGTTTTACACTAGTTGTTATACTTATAATCTACTAGAAGATTATTTATTTAAACACTTTGATCTTTTATACTTACATTAGTCAAATAGTACCAAGACTCCTGTACACCTTGGTACCATTTAACCTAATATATAACCTTTCTTGATGTACATCTGTTAGGTTGTTATACATTTCAGAGCATATCACCTGACTGTAAAGTCCAGAATGCCTCCCTGTTAACTAATTTACTCACTTATTATAATAGAACATTAACTGGACATATCTTTGCAAAGTTCACCCAGACCCTAGTACCAACTTCATAGCATATCCCTAGTGCTTATAGTATATCTCTGCTTTGATTTCAGATTTCCAATCCAGATAGCCTAATAGGACTATAATCTGTCTTGATATATCGAGTCTGATCTGATATTTTTTTTTTCAGTCCAATTTCTAATGGCCTGATTGGTAGTACCTCTTACCTAAAGGTTCTTGCTCGCCTGATTCCTTCATATTGGTATCTGTTTTCTAAGTCTAGCTTTTACAGTAATACTGTTGAAGATCTGTATTATCTTTTTACTCAGGTCTTCCTAAGTGGACTCCAGTTTTTTCAGTTCTACAGATTTATATGACTAAAGAACTTATATTGGGTTTTTATTGCCCGGTATCAGTTTGCATTTCTTTGTGTAACCAAGGTTATATAGATGCCTCTGACCTGCTAGTCATGCTGATGCAACTATAGTTACAGGTATTCTATTCTAACTAATCGACAGAATGCTGTTACTATAATATAAATATTACATAGATGATTATTCAAATTTCACTGTTTGTGGTTTTGAACTTACAACCTACCACTTGGAGAGTTGACAACCTGATCACTTTACTAGGTTGCCACACCCTTCAAAATATATCATTATTAAAGTATTATTGTATTAATTAAAAGTATCATCATATTAATTAAAAGCATTATTATTTATTAAAAGTGTTATATATTAATTTCTTTTTTTTTTTTTTTTTTTTTTTTTTTAACCTTAGCCAGTACTTTATTAAGATTCTAAAAACTATAAAATTACATAGAAATTCCTAATATCTAAGTCCAGCATCACCCAGCCACCTTTATGGTACCTAAGTGCAA